TATACATTCCAACTTGGAAGATATTTCCCCAACCAGATCATAGGTTCTCTGAAGACAATGACCATGTCTTCTCTGAAAGTCTCAGGACTATACTGGCATCTGTGCACAGGTCCCTGGGGCCCAGAGTTGGTAATTCCTTATGCTGACAGTTCTTCATGAGAAAATGATAGAGTACTAGCATCTTCTCTTTGATCCCAAGCAGTGCAGTTTTGCCTGCAAACCTGCACATATCCTGCTCAACCAAAGGCTTGCAATGAACTCTGGGCCCACTCTTCTCAGAAAGCAGTCAAGGAAGCTTGCACCTTGGTTCTTCCCTGTCATTCAAGTACCTGATAAAGGGGGCTTTTCCAACCACATACCTTCTAGAGAGGGTACAGCTTGATCAAGCAGGTGATGTTTCAGCAACCTTTTAAGATTACCCCATCATGCCATCTGCTTCCATGGACAATGGCATTCACTACATACTAACTAGTGTATTTGAATATCTGTATATTCTGTCCTCATGGATTGATTTAATCCACATAAGGATCTATAAATTTGTATTGTGGATGTTTATAAGTTTATATTATAAACTGAAGTAACTTTCTGAAAGATTCTACACTGAGTGAATAATTTAATCAAATGGAATAAAGAAAATAATGTAATAGCAGTGAACAATATATAGCAATTACTTTACATATAATGTCTTGTCATGAATTTTCACATTTTGAAATTTTTGCCCTACTCAATTTTGTAAGTATGCTTATGTGTGCTAAATTTGACTACAAATCAATTTTAGTATAATATGCCGACAGAACATAACACCACACTAAAATTACAACCATGTAAGATAATGCAGGTTTTTGAAACATAATTATAAATTGATAGATTAAGGGGTACAACTGTGGATAATTATCAGTTAAGTTTTTGGTTTTGCATAACTGTAATTGTTATCTGTACAGTATTTTTAAAACAAAGTGTTAAGGCCATAATATTGTTATAAAGTGAATCCATGAGCCACTCAAGAAAAATTGCCAAGTTTTCTCACTTCATATTTCAACAATCACAATTAGCAAATATCACTATGAAGTTCTCTCTAACCCTTATAATTTTATGTCATTCCACATCCTTCCAACTAATCAAGAAGTAGAAATAGAAACTATCTGCATGATAAGACCACCTGAATGTTCACATCCCAGGTTCATTTTGTAAAGCATAGTCCTAAATTTTAAATCTACCTCTATGTAAATCTAGTCTTTCCTCATCATACTATAGTCTAATTATTTCTTTTAGGAATTCATTCATCAGTTTAACTTTAATACTAATACTATCACACCAACTTCACTATTTAAAAAAATTTTTTTATGTTGGTCATCTAGAATGAAGCTCAAATAGTCAAATAGAATTATTAACTATCTCTAGAAAAAATATGTTTCCTCTTTGCTTCTAACATTGGAAAATCTACCTAAAAATCATTAACCTAAATCTTACAATTGATTTTTCATTTACAAGTTTCAGAAATGTGGATTTTAAATCTGATTACTACATGAGAAATATGTGCTATATTTCTAATTTCCATTGTACAAAATCAATCAGAAATACAAATGAAAAAGGATGCTCTGATTTTTGCCTCTGAACAAAACTACATATAAGAGCCCTAATGTTTTATCAAACCAAGAAAAGACAACAGAAAATTCTAAATTAACCTGATGTCAATATCAGAAATAACCATAAAGGTTCTTTGCAGGAGATTGTTCTTCAATTCACAAATATTTTTCAAAAGCTGTTTCCCTGCATCACCAGTAAACACAGGCATTACTTGAGAGAAAACCATTTTCTTTCACACATTACTTCAAATAGCCTTGTAGAATTGAATGATTCTTTCTAAGAACCCTGTTTCATACATTATTAAATTAGCAAATAGAAATCAACAACTTCACAAACATTTCATATTAATAGGCATAAACAAGTCAGTCTTAATGGATTTTTTAAATCAATTCCCTGATATTTGACCACATTCAAATAATATTCTAACCCAGAAGGTAGGTGAGCCCACCATGACACTAATGAGGAAGCTGAGCGCCTGAGATGAAATAACGCAAAATCCTAGTCATAATGTAAAACGGAGACATAAATTCACTCATCATATACTCTCAATTTCCTATTAAGTTTATTACTATAGCAAATATGTAATCAGCACGTTTCACTAATTTAAGTTTTTTAGGAAGACATACATTTTACAGAAAAATATGTTTTCAATTAAAAATGACTTTGAAGATGAATTTTCTATCAAGCTTAGAACTAAAAAATACACATAAGCCATATCTAAAATACCATAACAGTAAAATTGATGTGAATAAATGGTATATTAATAAATACATTAATGAAGTAAGATTGGTTAAAATACATCTTTGCTGTGAGAGGTTGTCAAGTTTTCAAACCAACAATAAATTTTATTCTGAGCTAAATACAAAGAAAAATCATTCTGTCAGCAGAAAATCTGCTGAGGAATCGCTACATAAGGCATGAACTGGAATGAGGGCAATACCTCTGTTACTTCAAAGTGATGTCTTTTAAGAAAAAAAATCCTGAAGCACAGTTCCTCCTCCATATACACATAAAATGCTTTTCTACCTAAACTAGTTGAGGGGAAAAAAGAAAATCTATGTAGCACACATTTTTTTCACAGCTTATTTTTTATTTGGACTTTATGTAAATTGCAAAAAGTTTGGAAGAGCATAATTACTCACAACTCAACTACCAAAAGACAATTTATCACTTTAAGTTATTTTACTTTCAGTCTTCTTCCTAGGATTTCTTAAAAATAGAGTGCAAACTCCAGCTTGTAACTTAACATGAAACATGTGGACATTCCCATTATTAAAGATTCTGTAGGCGTTTTAAAGCACTGTTTCACATGTTGAAATTAGACTGGGTACATAAGGGAACACCAGTGGACCCTAACGCACATCTATTAGGCTCGTAAGACTCTACAGCAATTTCACATCAGGTCCTTTGGGTAAGAAATGTAATTTTTAAAAAGTAGGGAATTCAAATCCCACACAATTCCTGAGTTTTCAGGTGAAGTATACCTAACTGGCCCTTACATTATCAGTTCAGGAGGCTCCAGTTTAACAATGTTTATCATTTATAGCTGTATTATGCCTTCCCCTTTGCAAAAGTCCTGTGTACTATTATTTCATTTCCATTAAGCTATGAAATAGGTATTCTCCTATCACTGATGCAGAAAACTAAGGAACAAAGAAATTAAATAACCTAACAAAATTTACCCAATCAACCCAGAACAATTAGAAATCAGGTCTTTTTAATTACTAGAATAATTTTTATTTATGTTAATTCATATTGATGTTTACATAAGATGCCATTGTGAAGGAGAACCATACATTTGTTAAAATGCCCTGTAAAAAAAATTAAACCTTAAAAAAATAAGGTAATATTGCATGTTTAATTAGATGAGGTTTGAGAAATTCTAAAAATAAGGCAATTGTTTCATTTCTGATCCTATGTTCAAAGATTTTTTTCAAAACATGATAAAAACACTTTTGGATCTGGAAATAAGCAATATCCAGAAATAGAGTATTCTGCTTGCACAGTTTCATATATTCCTTTCATATCAAGGTACCTTATTTTTTGTGTCTCAGTTTCCTTGTTTGAAATGGGATAATAAAACCTATCAGATGCTTGTGGTGGGGATTATATGAGTTAATACACATAAACCATTTAGTACTGGTTCCAATAGACGTTAGCTATGTATAACCCTGTTTTTCTCTCTAACAAGAGGAAAAAATAAGTATAGGTTCTAAAACTTTAATGAAAGGAAGAATTTCACATTCTAATTAAGTGCTGATGTTCAAGAATGCATTTAAGGCGATCAATCTGAAACCTGAATGTTAAGCATCTAAATTTTCAGTTATACCGTGTAGAAATATGCCTCCGTCTAAGAGGTCAGTTCCCCAAATACATTTTTTCCTTAAAGGTAGAGAAATTCTATTTCCACATCCCTGTCAAGGTTTCAGCATCTTCATAATGACAAGCTTATAGCCGTGATTTCATACTTTACTGAACACTATGAAAGCAGCACGAAGATGGACTTAAACGTGGAGATGAACTTTATAAAAAAAACCTTCCCAGCAAAAAGTAACCAACAATCTAACCCTATTCTCACTGCAATAAAATGGGAAATGCAATAAAAAATTATGTTTAATAACTGATGCCAAACTGATTCAAAAATTGTAGTTCGCTGCCTTAAAACAGTTCTAAAGGCCGGGGGTTGGGGTGGCGGGGTGGGTTATCAGCATGCACTCTCTTCCAGTTACGATGATTATTCCATAGTTTCAGTCGCTCTGGAATAGGTTTTTCAAGGATGGCAGATGGAAAAAAAGTTTTGTTGCCTTCTGGAAGGGCTTACCCTTTCCATGTGGAACACTCCTTTTGGGCAACACAACACGTTGCATAGGGTCAGGCCCAGTGTCCGACCCAGGCAATTTCGACCACCATCCTGAATAGGCAGGGTTTGTAAAGGACACGTCCCGAATCCAATACTCAGATATAACCAGAATCAATTCCATTCGGTATTGAACCTGGGCACTTTCACAAAAGATCAGAATTACCGCCACTTGCCTTTCATAGATTTAATATGCTATTTAATTCCCTTGCCTTTCTACTCCATCCATCTTTCCATTGAGGTCACAACTCAAAAACTTCTTTTTCCTCCCGAGAATTTGCCCCAGAAGAAGAATTCACTACCAGAAAGGGTCTCAATTGCCTTTTCTCAGAAAAATTAATGGCCCTGCCATAAAGTAAAGCCGCGCCAACCTAGGAGACACAGGCAGGGTCCACCTTTGCAACTCACCCCACGGAGTGCTGGGCCAGGTCCGGCCACGCACCGAAGCGCACCGCACGCCCCTGGCCCCCAAGCGTGTCTGCGGTTTGGGCTGCGGGCCCAGAGACCCCGCGCCCCCGCCGCCCCGCGCGCTGCTCTATCCCAGGGCACCACTCACCTTGCTGGGCTCCGGCGTCCTCGAGCAGCAGGATCAGGATGAGTAAGAGCAGGAGGCACACAGGCATGGGGAAGGAGGAGGAGGCGTTGGAGCCGGGAGGGAGGAGGCAGGAGCAGGAGAGGGGGAGCGCGGCCGGGGCGGGGGCGGTTGCCGCGGCCCGGACTCGGGAACGGGAAGGGCTGCGCCCAGCCCTCACCACCCCCCAGCTCGCCATCGCGGCGGCCGGCAGTCCGCCTGCATAGTGCTGGCGCCCCGGGGCCGAAGCACCGGGCGAGGAGGCGGAGGCTGCGGCGGGAGAGCGAGAAGCTGGGCGCGCTACGCCCCGCGCCGGGACCCCCTCCACCCCTCACTCTTCGCCTCCTCTTTCGATCCTTCCCTCCGCTCCCCGCCCCAAGCTCCAGTCCGGTGCGCGAGGGAGGGGAGGATAGGATGCGGAGTGCTCGAGCTGTGGAGAGCCGCTGTGGCGGCGCTGGGGGACGCGCTCCCGCGCCGCGTTCCTCACCCAACGGCGGCTAGCGGCGCACGCCCCGGGCTCCGACTCGCTGGCGGGCAGGCCGGCAGCCCGCTCCCTCGCGCTCCCTCTCGCGCGCGATGACCACGCCCCCTAGGCCAGCCACAACCAATCCTCGGTCGGCTCCCGTCCGTCTCCCCACGCGCCACCCAATCAACACCCTCTCTCCTCCGTCTACCCGTTAGTTCTCCGGCCCACCCCTCGAGCTCACCGCCCCTTCTAGCTTTCCTCCAATGCCCTGCGGCCTTGAGAAGCGCCCCACCCGCCTTTCCCGGTCCGCCCCCTAGCCCGGGCCTCCGGCAGCCCCCGCCCGGCTCCTGCGCCTGTTATTGTTGGGACCACAGCCCGCGCTGATCCGCTGAGGCTGCCGCTAGCTCGGGTCCCTGACTTCCGGGACTTCTCCCATCCCGCTCTCCCTGCTGAGGCCCGGCTTGCTCCCTGCTCCTCTCCGCCCCAAATCAGGCCCCTGGAAGGGGTGGGAAGCCTGGATCCTGGGTGATTTTAACGGGGAGCTGAGTCTAAGGGGCCTTCTTTGTACAAAAATAGCAGAGCGTGTTTTTAAAAGTACAGCCAATTGCAGCAACTCCGAGTTATAATAACATACAAATTTTAAAATATGTATTTCCTGTTTCCTATACTTCTTACTCTATTTACCATATTGGTGGGGAACTAAAAAAAGCGCTTAGCATGATCCATGCCCCCAAAGCTATTTAAACCTGACATGCTGACATTCATCCAGCTATTCCACCAAGTGTTGTTGAACACCTGCCATCTACTTACAACCCTATGCTGAGAGTTGTGGGATTTGCAGAAATAATACAGAAATTTTCAAGGATCTACTGTTAGGACAGAGTTGGAAATATATCATGGAGATCAGAATAAAAGGCTAGAGTCACAAGTAATTAGGTTGAGACTGTAAAGGATGGAGTGACAAAAAAAAAAAACTGGTCCTTGGGAAAGGGAGATTCTCAGGACTAGGTGGTGACTGCTTTTAGGAGAAAGGTGCCATCCTGAATGTTTTTAGCATAGTCCCCTTAAAGAGAGGTTGGTGTCATTAACAAATAGAGAAATTGAAAAAGGTGGATCAGGTTATGTGGGCAAGTGAGTTAATTTTGGACACTGAATTTGAGATGCCCACACAGCTATTATGTGAAGTTACATTAACAGGCAGGTGGACATTTTAGTCTAAAGTTCCGTTTGAGGAGTTCCTGGAAGTTGTGTATGAGAGTCATAAGTATATGTGGTATTCCAGAGTATTCAAGACCGTGCAACTGACTGCCATCCTCTAAAGAAAATCCGAGAGCTGGAAAGGACTTTGGAGTTCATCTTTTTCAACTGTTCTGCAGCCCCCTTGTGCATTAAACCCTTCTATCAAATGTATTCAAAAAGCATTTAATGGATGCCTATTAAATCCTACTGTGCTCTAGGACTAATGTAGGCAGTGGGTATACAAAATTCAATCCTAGGAGCTACATTTTGTGCGGGAGGCAAACATGTAAACAAATTCACTGCTCTCAGAGCCACACTGTAGTATGGGCTGGTACCACAGCATCACAGTGGAAGGAATCAAGGAACCCATCATGGCCAGTATGAAATTCCCACTGAGTCTTGAATAAGAGGACAAGGAGAGGAAGGTGATCTCGGGCCAGAGGCAAAGTAGGCTGGCTCATAGGCACCAGGATGAGTGGTGTGGGTGGAGCTTAATATGGTTAACTATTGCTGACTTGAGGGGAGGAACTGAAGACTAATCTGGAAAAGTGGGTAGGGGTAAGATCTAAGATAGGCTGAGGAGTCAGGATTTTATTTTATAACTAAAGAGTTCTAGGAAAGAGTGACATTAAATTTTATTTTAGAAAATTCAACGAGACAGAAGGGTGAGGAATGGGTTGGAGTCAGAACAACACTGGAAGCCAGGAAGAGTAAATCTGGAAACTGGTCAAGTGATTTGTATCATTAAAGGGAGTGACAGTGAATCTGAACTGCAGGAGCAGTGGAAAGGAGAGACTGAGTGGAGGAATATGTATGAATGTAGAGACTGATTAGATGTGGGGTGTAAGGAGAAGTTGAGGGAGATACTTAAGTTTCTAGGCAGAAGGCAGTGCCTTTCACACAGCAAGGGACTGTGAGAAGGGGAACTGTTTTGTTTGGATGGAAAGTAGAAGACAACATCATGCATGTGCAATATTGGGCATTTTGAACATTATGTGCTAATGTGACAGTCATTCATGTAATAAGACTTCTAGTGATTGTGTCTCTGAGACAACCCATCTTGTTTGAAGGAGAACCCTCTCCTTCAATAAGACACTTAGTGATAACCTTGAAGTGGTGACAGAGCAAGGTATTATGAATCTCAGGCTGGCATTCCATTGACTACATAGAACTTCACCAGAGGAGGAAGATTCACCTGTGAACTATCAGTCACAGAAGCCTTCCTTATAATAGGCAAAACCTGGGCTATAGACTCCTCTACTCCTTATTAAGACAGCATGGAAAGATCCCAACTACATATACCTAAAGCAAGAGAGAGGTGCACTTAAATTTTTTATCCCTTTTTATGGAGAAATATGATTGTCTGGTATTTTAAAAGTATTATTATTAAAAGTGGAGAGTACAGAGGTGAAGAGGTTCTGAATGAGGTCAGTGACAGGAAAGATATGAGGGAGGAAGGAGCAAACGAGAGTTCTATCTAAAGAGGTGAAATCAGAAGTTTTTGATGACTGATACTATTAGAAAATTTCTTTATTCTTATGCCTCAGCTTCCTGGGCTTTGTTTTGGAAACAGAGAGTATGGAACACTGGATAGAGAACATCTGTGAAGACCCTATTGCTGTATTATGTGGGAGGGAATTGTAAGTAAAGCCCAGATGTGGGGAAGGGATGATGCTGTTTCTGCCCCTAGGATCTCCCCACTTCTCATCACTCTACTGAGTTGCAAAACAATGACAGAAGGATGGGTCAGAACCGAGGATTCTACTCAAGATCCAAGGTGGGCAGTTCTGGAAGAGGCCATCACAGCAGCCAGAGGCCCCCAGAAGCTAAAGTGCTTCCACAATGCAAGCCCAGATCCCAGCTCCTTTCTACAGAGTTTCATAAAGATATGGGCTTTCAAGGTTCCCTTGGGGAGAAACACCAATTGAGCAGTGTTTTCACTGCACAGGAGTTCATTAATATGCACTAGGACTTGCAGCAGCCATAGTCCACTCCATTCATTAACTGGTAAATGAATTAGTGTTTTAGATGAAGGCTCTGGGAAGACTGGAGCTTCAGGAAAGGAACACACAGGATAGTTATATATGAAATAACAGGAAATTAAAATGTGTATTATTTTAATGTGCTTATGTTTGTTCACTCCATGTTAAGAAATTAAAAAGTACAGAATCTCAACCTAAATTTTAACTCAGTTTCCCCTTTACATCTTCTCTTCTTCCTCTTTTTGTCATTCTTTCTTCTTTTAATAGTGAGTGGAGGAATGGAGAAAATGGAATTGATCTGTAGAGAAACGGAGAATATGGAAAAAAAATGTTTATATCCCACCATTTCTGCTTCCAAATGAATCCCAGCTCAGCCAATGCGAAGGATGTGAGAATGGAGGAAAAGAACCTGGCGGCTGGTGCCTTTGCTTTCACTCGGACGGAAACATCTGGGTTTTAATGGTAAGATACAGTAAGACTCATTGGCACCATCATTGCTATTAAGTGTCTCTTAGCATTAATAAAACAGAAGAGGCTCATTTAATATGACATTTCTCCTAGAAACCTCCGATGATGGTATATAATGAGGCATTGGTTGGCTTTATCAGTGAGTGTATTTTTGTCAGGATAACAGAAAGAAGGAACAAACCAGAATTTTACTTTTGTGACCTTCTGGTGGGATGGGAAAGAAAGAAGAATGTGGCACTTCTGGGGAAATATTTCAAACTTCAAATACCAGAGCCCTAAGATCTGGTTACTCTTCTCACAGGAGCATATTCTTTGTCCTGCTGACTGTTTGAACAAATGTTTATAACCAAGATTGTTGCTAAATGTCTGATTTCTGCTGAGGAGACTTTGTCTTCCTTTCTGTGCACAGAAGTGGTTTGGGTACATTTTGCTCTTTATCTTGTAAGTTTCTTTTACTTAGTCATTTCAGTCAAACCTAGCTCTGAGGTTTATTAGTCAGATTTTCTTAACATTTATAAACTATTTCTTTAGGTTTTCTTTTTTGTAGCAAACTTAAGACAGAAGTGTTAGAAACCTAGTTACTGTAGAAGACATTTAATTTGTACTTGTGGATGATGAAGTTAAATATTTTTTCTCAGCATACTTCAGCAATATGACTGACGGATCGTTTTCCATTGGTCTCTTTCTCCACACAACCATCTCTCTCCTTCTCTTTCTACCCCCTCTTCCCACACATACACCCTTGGTTTTCCTAGGAACATAAAAAATTTAACCAATTCATTCTCTTGTGATTCAGAACAAGAAGACTTCAGCTTGGTATTTCATCTCTGAGAGAGGCTGCAAAAGATTTTAGCAAAAGCCCATGAAACTGTCCTCCATGACATAGATACCACACCTGAAAGTTAGGGAATTAATTATTCACGAATGGTGACCAGAGAACTAAAAAATGAATAGTGAATATATCAGAGTGTTTGAAACAATATGATTTAGGAGAGCAGTAGCTGCTATACGCCTGTATTCTTTCCTGTGGGACCTTGGCTGACAACATAGTGGAAAATTGAACATCCTGAGTTGAAATGCTATTTGGCTTCTGAGAGACTAAGTTGTTTCATGAGATCGAGGAAACAGTCCTGGACCAGACTCTTGCATCCAGCTTCCACTTGAAAGTGCCGAACAACCTCCAGCAAGATTCCTAACCTCCCCAGGCCTCAGGTTCCTTATTTTTGGCTTTCTATTAACCATGGCTTGTGAAGTGGCAGATTGTGGACTTTTTCCTTTATTATATAATAAAGTCTAATTGGACTGAAAGGTAGAATGTCTGCATTAATCGGGTTTTAATACCAATCTAATACTTTACATTTGCCTGACATACATTACCACTTGCTCTTCATTAACATACTCACA